GGGACGTCCCATTTTTTTCATATTCCTTTGTGGAAGGTTTCGTGTGGCTAATTAGGAGTGACATATTGGTTTTCGGTTCAATTTTTATTGATTTCGGTATCGATTTGGAACGGATTGGAAGAATTATTACCAAACAAAAATCATACTATTTTTTGGGTTTGATTCAGTTCGGTTTAGTTCGGTTTGAAATTGTTATTTTTTAATAACATATGAAGGTTTTATTGAATTTTTTTAGTTCAGTTCAGTTTTATTTGGTTTTGTCGATTTTGGTTCGGTCCGATTTAAGACTGTTTGGAAGAAATACTACCAAACTCTAACCAAATTGCACATATCCAGTTTCGGTTTGGTTTGGTACGGTTCGATTACACCAAACCAATACATTCACCCTATTACATTCATTTACTTTTTTCTTACGCAACCACAATTATATATTTTCACGTTATTCACGCTTTCTTAAAGTCCGACTCAAATCAAACTGAGAAGAATTTAATGGGATCAACGAAGTAATTCCATAATAGACTACGAAAAATTATAAACTATATGTGGCTTCTAAAAAAGTCCATCATGCGTATATATATAGGAAAATTTTACGGTGCACTCCTAAATTTTGAGTGCACCGGTACACACCTTTTCTTATCCAATCACATTTTAGTATTGTGCTACTAAATATGATTAATGACTTGTAGTGAGGATTGAGTTATTAGCCAAAATATTATTTGAATTGTTTCTTAAATTTCTAAATAGGACTATGTATATTTTTATTTTTTAAATAGGACTTTTATGCAATATTTGTCCTTCCTAATATAAATAAGGTTTAAATGTAGTATCCCTGCAAAATTATTTTTTTCTTTCATTTCTAAAATGTATGTTAGTTTTTCTTTTAGTCTATTGCTGATGGATAATAATGGAATTTAATACGTATTTTAAAAATGTGAGTAATTAGTTTTTATTTTTTTAACTCTCATATTTTCCTAAAAAAATTTATAGGGATGAATTTTTTTAGTGATATACTAAAAACAAAATGATGCATAATACAAGGATGAAAAACAAAAAAAAAATTGCAAGGACTTAAATCATATTTAAACATGTAAACAATTCCCTATGCCGGTGATCCGGATCCGCGGCGTCGGCGTCAGTGTAGGCCAAATCTTTAGCGGTAGAGGCCGGCCGGATCTTTAGCGCCGGCGGCCGACGTGGCAAGAGCTGGTTAGATGTACGCGCCGATGGTGGTTCATGACAAGATGTGCAATGTCGGTGGTCAGATCGGTGACACCCAGATCTGACCAGATGTAGGGAGGAGGCGGCTAGATGTGTAGCGCCGGCTGCCGACGGTCAACAACGATGTTCGGCTGTATTAAATTTTGTCAAACTTCAAGGGGTACTTTCGTACTCCTGTCCAACTACAAATAATAATTCCTATTTAGAATACTTTTAAACTTTGCACATTGACAATTAAATATTTATTTATTCCTATTTAAATAAATCTCCTTTGACGATTTTGTTCAGTTTAACATTTTTTCTAATCTGGTGAAGGATCTAAATGCAAAAATGGCAAATTATTATGTTTAGTTAATGAGGATATTAGGTGGCATAAGATTAAAATATAATGGGATGAGTGATTAAAAAGGATGATGAGTGGTTAAAAAGAATGTGTACCAAAACACACAAAATTAAGGAGTGCACCGTAGAAACATCCATATATATATTACCAGTATTGATTTCTTTCCGTTATACACGTACGTATTATATACGGAGTATATGAATGACAAGCCTTTTGTTTTGAAACTAATGATGAAATACAAATACCCCTCCAATAAGAACTTTTTATCATCGTACCCATCAAATTGATCAAAATATTTCTTCAAAGAGAGAATTTCTTAAATAGGAGCAAAACATTCACAAAATGTCAAAAAAGGAGTATCATGTTTTGAATAAGAGTAACTTTAGTGTTTGGATAAGTATACCTCTACCCAAACCCTAAGCCCCAATAACTTTTAATTAAATGTTTAATTCATAATAAATTCGAAAAAAATCAAAAATTCGTAGCAAAATAATTAAAAATTTATAAAATATTAATAAAATAAACAAAATTTAAAAATATATATTTTAAATTTTTTAGTTTTTTAAAAGATTAATAAAAAATAGGAAAACTCCATAAAAAAATTTTAAAAAAAATATGGATGTCTTTCCCACCGCCTGTACAACCTTCCTGCACCACCTCCGGGCGGTGAAAAAAATTCCATTTTTCCTAAAAACTGCCATTTTTTCTGAAAATGCCAAAAACATGGCATATTTCTCTTTGCGAATGCCAACATTTTCATTATTTTCTGCCATAAATATGGCATTCGTAATGAACTTGGCATTTTTTCCCTTGGTGACGGGAGGTGGTGGTGCAGAGGCGACAGAGGCGGCGGTGAATTTTATTTTATTTTTTGAGTTTTTTATTTTTTTAAAAAAAATTATTTTTTTTTGTTTTTTCAAAAATAAATAAATAAATAAATTGTTATTATCGAATAAGTCATAAATTAACTAGGTTAAGATTAAATAAGTCATATTTTAGAATTAACTAGGTTAGGGATATTAAGGGTACAAAATTAATGTTTACTCCTATTGAAGGAAGTTTTAAATTTTACTCCTATTTGTGCAATTATGTTTATGTTTACTCTTATATTGGGCAATTTCTATTCTTCAAATCGACCAAAGCGAATAAAACACAAGGAGTGTCGGTGTTATTAGTATTATACCGATCGAGTAGTACACATTTATAAAAATCAAATTCGTGACCTTGTTTATATCTGGCTTGTCAGCTGTATATACTACGTCGTATATATCATCACCTCTACTTCTTTCCCGGGCATTTTGCTCCGCGGTGATTTGTCTCTCAATATGGGAAGTTCTATTTGAGTCCTGACAAGCTTCGTCTGTTCAGGAGTTTCCTTCTGCTTTCTTCAAGAGTGTATAGACAATGGTAGAGTCCGTCCTCCTCCAGAATCACATCTGTGTCATGAAAAATTTTGTGGAAAGACTATTTCAAATTTATGTTTTGATTAGTAGTACTTGTTTCTAATTTAGTTTCAGTAGATTTGGTTAGGAAATTTGGACTTCTGGCATACGTTTGATAGACAGTATTTCAGCCCCAATTGTTTTAGGCTTTAAATTGTCTGTTTCGTGTCTAGTGAATCAGGTTGTTTTGTATGAGGTGATTGCTTTTATGTCTATTCTCAGGGCTCACAATGGATCTGTCATAATGGATCTGTCATAACTGTCTGGATGTTATCTTGTATCTTTTATCGATATTAATATAAAAGTCTCCTTTTTATTGAAAAACAAAATCATCACCTCTACTTTGAATCTAGTTTTGGAGTTAGCTAGATATGTCTTGTTAAAGAAGGCAATGTTTTTTTGGAAGAAGAGAAGGCAAGGTTTTTCTCGGAAGAAGAGAAGGCAAGGTTTAAAAAATTATACGGAGTATTGGGAGGCTATATAATATGGAAAAGTAAAGTTAGATGTTATTTTCTTGACTGTATTGGTTGAAGTTACTGTAGATGATCATTTTAGTTATTTCAGCGAGAACATCATATAATTTTTCTTTACTTTAGTAATAAAAAAATTAAAATATAATTTTTCATAAATCTGTAGAATCAGCCTATCCAGTCACTTCAGTTAGAACTTCATCAATTTTAGCAGAAGCAGGCACCAAGAACATATACAAATATGTATAGTTGCATATTTTAGAGGGGGTGAACTTTCACTGTTCACTGCACTTTAGGAAACATTTTACCCAAATAACCTACATATCACTTTTTTTTACTCTAGGGGTCTGGGGAGGGGGGCTGGAGGGCCTGAAGTTTTCAGTGCTGAAATTTACTCTATAGAGTTTCAAACCCTTATGTGTCTAGCGGGTTTTGAACTCGAGACCTCCCACCTACGTATCATATTATTAATACTATGTACGTAGTTAGACCAAGAGCCCGTTTGGTGACTTTGTATAATAATAAGAAAAAGTAAGACTGTAGTTACTAATTTAATTGATTGGTTTGGGAGTTTCTTATGAATACCTTATGAGTTTCTTATATACATAGACCATGCATTGTATTAAAAGTACAAATAAAACATACGTAGTATTCATTAAGAGTACACAAAATGTGTACACAAAAAAGTGTACAAAACGTCAATATCAAGACTTGAGGTCAGTATATTTGGGGTCAATATGAATTCAAAACATTTGATTATTTTCCATTACCGAAAAGTCTCATTCGATTATTTAGAATAAATTCAGTGTTCAAAAACAGACGTAACTAACAAAAAGTCTTTATATTCTTATTATAACAGTAAGCAATGTAGTCTCTTTTTTCCTCATTCTCGCCATTATTCTCAAAGGTTGTTCTTTGGTGTCCCCTAATAATAATCAAAACGTGACCTTCCGATTTGGATTTATTGAACCAAGGCCTTCTTTCGCTTATCCTAAATTTCATTGTAGTTATTAAATCACGACCACACACATTTCTTTCTAAATAACGTTGATATAAATAAAGTGTTTGAAAAATCACATCTAAATAAAATATTACTCCCAATTAAATTCCCAATTACACTTTTTGGATGAAACTTTATAAACTTTGACCATTAATTATTTATATTTTAATTATTTTATCATACAAAATTAGTTTTATACTCCATCTAGTTCTCAAAAAGTTTCACAGTTTGACTTTACATAAATTAAGAAAATAAATTTGATTTTACTGTGGAGTATATTGTTTGGCGCTGTTTGACCCTGTTTTGCACTGTTTTGTGTAGATAATTTGCCAAATAAGGAAATAAGAAGAGTGAAGTTAATTTCGATACTTCCCGAAAAGGAATGTGAGAAGTCATTTGGGAACCGGAGGGAGTACTACGTATATTTTATAAAATTAATGTATGTAGTACAGTGTATTAGATTTTATAAGTATAGAATTTCGATATTTAGTAACAAACATCCACCTAAAAAACTGTAAAACACAAACTGAATAACCTTGTATGAGAGATTTTCCTAAATGGGACTAAAATAGAGTAAAATTGCACAAATAAGACAGTCATGTTTTATTGATCAAAATAGGACCAAAATTGTACCGATGGACAAAATTACCCTTAATGAAACAAAAACAAAAACATATTCAATAGGGCCATGATCGCTGCACCTCCACCGACTATTTGCAGCAAGACCTCTCCAGACCGTCATCGCCACCAATAATACCCTCCTCTACGCCATTCATCGCCACCAAGATCGTCGCCGCCACTTACCGGCGAGGTCGCTGCTGCTTCCACCGACAAGACCGCCGGTGTTATCCTCTCCCTCCGGTGAGAATAGTGTTACGGTGTCATCCGTCACTGTTAAGTTCTTCCCTGGAGGTGTCGACATCTTTCTTGTTGGGGCTACCTCCTCTGGAGAGCAAGTTATCAATTTCAGGTGAAATTGTCATCACATAACATCCAAGACAAAAACATGTCATTTTTAGATGCAGAAACATGTCATTTTGAGATTACAACATGACATTTTCAAAGACAAAAACGTGACATTTTTAGATGCAAAACATGTCATTTTGAGATTACAAATTTACAACATGACATTTTCAGATAAAAAATATGACATTCTCATGTCATAAAAATGTCATCATTTCTCACAAATGTCAAAATCATTGCATTTTCAAACATATAATACTGCCATCTCCAAAAAATTGCCATCATGTCTCCAAAAAATTGTCTATCATGTGGCATTTTTTAGAAGGTGAATGACATACATAATAAAAAAGCCAGACCAATATAATATCGAAGGACAAAAAATTTCATATCCAGAAGTCCCAAATCCAAAATTTTCAAATTAAAAAAAAAATACATTTTGAATCAAAAAAATCAACAACAAAAATTAACATAAAAACATTCTAAAATGAAAGAGCACAGAACATAAGAGAATAAGAAGAAGATGAAGAGGAGGAGGAGGAGGAGGAGGAAGGAGGAGGAGGAGGAAAAGAAGAAGAAACACTTACCTGGACATATTTCAACCAGAGTCGTGGAGCTTGGAACCGGCGGACATGGGAGAGGTCTGGGCGGTCGACCAGAAAAGGAGGCAGAGGAGATCAGCAGAGACCGATTGATATGCGAGAGAGTTGGGGCCATTGATGTGGAAGAGAGATGCCGATGCATTTAGGGATTTAACATATCAGGGGTAAAATAGTAATAGGGAGTCCCATTTAGGGAATTTAAAACATTAAATCCTAAGTTGGAATATTCACTATGTTTTAGTCCTAATTAAGTCAATTTCTTTTTATATATTCCTCGGCCTCTTGATTAAGTTTGTTTTAAAGAAATTATCCAAAATGAGACTAAAACATTGGCAAAACTCCAAAATAGGAGTATAAGTTTATTATTCCCTTAATAAGACTTTGGATTACATTTTTGCCCTTGTACGATTAAACCTACTCGGCTCACTCTTTTCCGGATTACATTCGATCGATTGAATATCAGGCCTCCAACTCGGATTGAACTCCTCTTAACCCCTGCTACAACATCGCTCTTCCGCTATCAACTGCAGCCGCAATCCAGCCGATGCCAACCATCCACACCAATTTCTCCGGCAGAGACAGGTAATCTTCTCCAATTCCTTCTTCATCCTCCTCCTCTCCTCTTCTTCCTCCTTCTTCTTCCTCCTCCTCTTCTTCATTCTTCTTCTTCATCTTCACACCCTCTTCCTAGTGATCTGTTGTTTTTTCTTTGATTGTCGTGATTTCTTTTTATTTCTTGTTGACTTTTTTGATTGAATAAAAAAACCTATTCTTGATTTGTTAATATTTAGATGAAAAATTAGGTTCCATCGCTTGATCGATTGTGGATTTCAATTTTATTTATTTATTTATCAATTTTGATTAATTATGAATCTGAGAATGACATGATTACTAGTACTTAATAATAAAAATGTCACTTTTAATGCATTACATCTATAAAGATGACAGTATTGCTTTGAAATTACAAAAATGTCATGTTTTTGCCAGATTGACAAAAATGTCACTTTTGAATAACAGAATGTCATAATTATTGGTTATTTAAAATAAATGTCACTTTTATGTCAATATATTTTGAAGATGACAATCTCAAAAATGTCATGTTTTTGCCAGTTTGACAAAAATGTCACTTTTGTGTCATATCAAGTGGCATTCTCGATGGAGGTTGTAGGCACTTGCCGAAGAGCGGCGGCTTCATCTGAGGATGGTGGCAGTGGACTCAGTTAAGGCGGCGGAGGCATCAGACTTGCTAAAGGACACATTGTTGCGACACCGGAGGATGGTTGAGTTGCGGCACACACCTGGAGCCCGGAGGATGGCTGGGATGCGCAAGTAACGCGCAATGTTAAGACATTTCAGCATTGGAGGCTATTTTTGTCCAAACACAATTATTTAGTCCTATTTAGGGAATTCTAAACAATATGTCCTATTTTTGAATTTACTTCATCTTTTACTCCTATTTTGGAAAATCTCTCATATATAAAATAACCTTGTCTAAAACCGATCTCATTTCCTTTATATATTTACATAATTTTTGTTTTTTGAAACTAATCTAAGATTCTAAACATAACGTAATAAAAATGTTATACAATGCCTTTGGAAGTCCGTCACGTGTTGTTCAGAATAAATCAAACGGCGGCGGTTGTTGCCTGCTTCCCCGGAGTGACGACATCGTTTTGTTTCGTCGGAATCGCGGCCCAGACGGCGGCGCCACCGATCTTATAAGCGCAAAATTCAATCCTTTGAAAAACGGGTGGGTCTTGACCTCCGCCGCCCCGCGCTTCGACCCAAGCCGCTTCTTCGGATCCTTGTTCAACAACGCCGATATCAAATCCCGCGCGTGCACTTCACTCACGCTCGACGGCGACACGCTGGGGAAAGCCAGGGGTGTTTTCACGATGCTCCGCAGCGTATTTTCGTTCGACGCGCCGGCAAACGGAGTCCGTCCGTAGATCATTTCGTAGATGAATATCCCCAGGGCCCACCAGTCAACGGCATTCCCATGGGACACGCCGGACGCCACCTCAGGCGCCACGTACTCGTGGGTCCCGACGAAAGAGCACGACCGGGCGGCGACCGGCTCAGCCACGAACAGCAGGCCGTTGGAAACCGTCTGAACCTTCTTCGACCGGAAAAGCCTGCCGGAAATGCAAGAAAACGGGGAGGGTATACGAGGAGCCGGAGAGGCAACTGAAAACTCCGGCGATTCGACGGCGGCCACAGTGTCAGAGCAGAGAGACAGGTCAAAGTCGGTCAACATAATGTGGCCATCTGACCGGACCAAAACATTCTCCGGCTTAAGGTCTCTGTATATGATTCCCAACATGTGAAGATATTCTAGTGCGACCAAGACCTCAGCTGCATAAAACCTGGGGAACAAAATGGTAAAAATAAAAAATGTAAAATCCTCCCACACATTAGTTTTGAGACTTTAAATTAAATTGCACAAAAATGGTAAAATCCCATTGTTGAGATTTGAAAGGTGAACAAAACAAGGCAAAATCTTAGAAAAGGTCAAACTATAATCTTTATTATTACCCAAATAATTAACAGGAAATTTAGGTCCCAAAATGGTCTGCCTAGATAATAGGTTGAAAGAAAACCTCACACGGAATACCCTGTTTGGCATACTAAAAAACGCAATAAAGCGTACTAACCTGGCAGAGGCGAGAGAGAACCGGTGATGGGGCTGTTTGTGGCGGAGAGAGTGCAAATCGCCGCCGGAACAGTATTCCATGACAACGCAGGAGAAATTCGAGGCCTGAAATTCAGCGTAGAGATGGGGCAAGAAAGGGTGGTCCAACATCTTTAAAATCTTCCTCTCTGTCTCCGCCCTCTCAATCTTCTTCTTCAAAGCCAGCACCTGGCTATCCACCACCTTCATGGCGTAAACCTGCTCTTCGCCGCCACCGCGGGGGCGGCAGAGGTACACCCTGCCAATATCCCCACACCCAATTTGGCGGACCAAGCTGAAGTCTTTTGCAGTCAAGCCGCCGGCGTTCAGTGCGGAGGAGCAGAGGGGCTTCAGAGCCGGCGGGTTCTGCTCCGGCGAGCTGGTGGGAAGCTCGAAAGACAGCCGGCTGGTGCTCGTGCGGTCGCTGCTGCTCATGGAACTTTTCCTGGGGGTCACACTCTGGGAATATCCATTGACGTGATCAGGCATGTTGGTGAGCGCATAACAATGGATTTCCCAACCTTTTGTCTGTTTTTTCCTTTTCTTGAAGAATCAGATGCTAAAAGTGCAGGGGTTGAAAAAAGAAGTGTGAACAGAGAAGGCAACGTCGTCTCGAATTCAAGAAAGCAGAAAGCAGTGGATATAACAGAGGCGAGAAACAGGGGACTGAAATTGTGTGGACCAGAGAAATTAGTGAGAGAAAGAAAAATGGAAGCGAAACTGATACTCTCAGAAGTATTATTGTACTTGTTGGTTTAGATGTAGAAGTAGTGTAGAGAGGGAGAGAGAGAGCTATGGTGGTTTTATTGTTATGTCGCTGTTTGGAGGAGTTGGTGGGATGGTTTTGAGGTGTGCAGGCTGGACCGGAAGCAGAAGAACGCGAGGTCGTTAGGGCTATTTATGCTTCTTCAGTACGGATTTATGTATTGTTATTCAAATTTAATAATCAGGTTAAACTAGTTCAGTGTTTCCTCATTTCGAAATTTATTTGTTTAAGAGAAAATGGAAACTAATAATTCAACCTTTTATTTGTTTTTTTACAATAGTCTCACATTTTCGCTATTCATGAATAATCTAACATTTGTACTTCATCTTCATTCACTGGTCCCTGATCGATTTATGACCTGTTATTCAAAGTTATTTTCTTATCTTTGTAAAACATTATACCATAATTTCCACCCTATGATCATATAATGTCTTACAAAGATAAGAAAATAACTTGCAAAGGTTGGATTATTCATGAATAATGAAAAGATGGGACTATTGTAAGATGACCGCTAAAAGGTTTGGATTATTAGTTTCTATTTTCCCCTTGTTTAAAGATATATTCTATGGTACCCATAAGGTACCATACCTTTGTCCACATGGACCAATGTGAATGTAGCAGTTGAATTATTTAAATCTAAATTAAAAATGATAAAGTGATGTGATCCAATCAAATGAATGACAGGTATGGTACTCCATTTTTTAGAAAGGTACCGGAGTTGTCACCTTGTTTAAATATGATCTAATTTGATGATTTGATCTGAGTTAAATGATCATGTGAATGTTGAAAATGACCTTTCAGTAACAAAATGGCGGTTTGACCTTTTTAGCGTTTTGAATAAGTCAAAACGTTGTTTGCTAAATAGCTTATCGGCTCTAGCGTTTTTGAAGGAACTGGTGAAATGGAAATGCTGCAAATAGGAGTGTTTTGGGTTACCGTTTTGAAATTTGACGTTTTCTACTTATTTTGTGCCCAAACAGCTAAATTACCAAACATCTTATGGCTACCCGTCAACTTATTCCGCTAGTCAAACCCTTTGACTGAATCTGCTATTAACACCATGTCAACATAGGAGGTAGTTGGATCCACTTCTGAAAATTGCTTCTACTAGTTAATGGTGCAGAAGCAAATATTGGAGTATATGAGCCAAAGTGTAAAAGTACTTTTAAAAGTTGAGGGAGACCACCTTCTGAAAAATTGATCCTGATTCTTCTTTCGCTTTCTCTAAAAAAAAAGCAGATGCAGAACCAATTCTAAACACTCGCATAATCTGCTCACTACTAACCACTAAATATCAAATACGTAATTGTGTATATACAACTTATCTGCTGCGGATAGACATGTATAGACAAAATGTGTACGCATTTGATGTACACCGAGCGAAGTTGGTATTACCCGTAACTTATTACGGAGTATTTGAAATGTGAGTATGTGATGATATACACATCTAACTTTATGTGATATAGGTATGTTACTTATGGTAGCACCGTCAGTGACACTATAAGTGATAACGCTGCCCAAGGCCACTCAGGTGGTGGATTTCAAAGAAAGTTTTGGACAACTTTACAATAAATGTTTTGGAAAATCTATTGAATTTTTTTCTAAGCACTAGAAGCTGTTGGGGGTGGATCGATAAATAAACCATGAATAGTTCAATGTGATAAAATCATAAACTCACATTTCAAATAGACGGAGTGCAACTTTTATCGGAGTTGGGGGGTCCAGATCGACTGCCCCTAGCCACGCCCACCAGGAAAGCGGTAGATGGGTGGATGTTGAATAGTGAAAAGAAAATACTCGTTACCCGAGCTTAATAGGTAGCGAAGGAGTGTCACAAAGATTAGATTTCGAGTTCGAATTCCAGCAATTACGATGAGAGCGAGATTACTATGCTCAAAGAATGCATAGGGCCTCTGTAAGTATTAGGGACAGAGCCTCACTCTCTATCTGTCAAACTGTGATTATAGTACAATTTACATTTTTCCAACGTACCGTCCGATCGGGGTTGGGGCTCTCAGGGATGGGGTGTCATCCTTTTTTTAGAAAATACTAGGTTGGCCTTGACTTGACTAATTAAATTAACGTTTTGAAGTTATTTAAAGTAGTTACATTCTTGTTAAGTTGTTATCACAAGTTTGGACTTGACTAATTAAAATCCAATATTACTTAATAACACTTAAATTGGTTGAATCGATTGAAATTGATTAGGTTATGGTTAATGTGATTTTATTGACTAAATCTACTCAAATATGACAAAAAACTATTCACAGTATATTTTATCAATAAAAAACTATGTGGAAAGAGCTAAAATGTTTTCCTACGATAACTTCAGTGCGGACAAAAAAGTAACTTCAATCTTATTAATTTTAGTATTTAGCGTGTGAAATCAAATAAGCCGAAAACATAGCTTAACCTACTAAATAACTTTTGAACAACATTGGTCGGACCACTCAGACGCCTGAAGACAACTATTATCTGTGTAAAACAACATTTGAAAACTCATTAATTTTTCGAACAATATTTAACTATGAATAGAAATTGCGTTTTACTCTCACAACATTGATTTGCACTCTTTTAATGTTTTTTGACATGTATACTGAATAACTATTGTGGATCATAGACATTAATCGATCGTGTCAATGAGTTAGTGTTGGGGAAAACATGACCTTCCGACCTCTTCCGGGATCACAAGCTTAGGATGCTTGTAGACTCACTCACTCACTCATAACACAAAGACTCGATCTAACAATGTCATTTTGTATTATACAATTGAAATGTACAAGAGATATTTTACAAGTAAACTAGTAGCTCACATCACTTTTTGTATATGGGATTGCTTCACCGTCTCCCTAAGCCACTCACTTACTCAAGAGTTCTTCTCAAAGCTTCATCTCTCTCTCATCACTTGAGGAGTCTCTCACAAGGCTCTCTATAAGCTATCACACTCAAGGAGGGCCGCACAAAGCTCTCCCCTGGGAATGAGTAGTCTCACACCTATTTATATGAATTTCCTTAAAGCTTCTCTACAACTTTCTATGCACCACTACACTTCTAGAGTCTTCCTATAAGTATCCACGAGCTTCTCCAATCTTCTAAAAGGATATAGAGAACTCCACACTGCTTCAGAATGTTCTAGAAGCTTCCACACACTTCCACACAATTCTAGAGAATCCCACACTTCTTTAGAAAGCTCTATAATGTTCTAGAATATTCTACACTCTTGCACACGTTTGCAGATAATTCCACGTCTCTCTAAAGGGTTTCGGAATATTGTAGAACATTCGATACTTCTCTGCATTCATATAGAGAATTCTAGACATCTTCACAAAATTCTAGAATTCTCGTGAGCTTCACAATTAAGGAGGAATCCAACACTAGTATGCGAAATAGAAACATTTGTAATGTGTAAACGAAGTGTACAACTTTGTGTTTTAATTTTTAACATAATTGCTTTTGTTAGGAACAATGTAGATTTTAGATTTCGTAATAACATACTCATTGGCTCGTATGATTTCTCAAAAGTCAAAGATGGTTACTAATTTTTACTTTGTGACTTTGTGAGGCTCGGGAATAAAGAATTCTACGTAAAACTCTTCATTGACGAACAAATGATTACATTTGTTTTTGAACATCAAGACTTAGGAAATCTCTTGAGGTTTGCTTGATGTAATCTAACTTCCCTGTTTGTTCTTTTTTATTGATTGGTAAAACAATTTTCTCCCAAGGAGACTTATTTTTTCTTTACCTGATTCATCGGTTCTTAATCACAATCTAACATATTGTTGCCTATAAATCAAATCACAATAAATTAACAAACAATGTCATCACCATTTTGTTTCAGTTTAAATATACAAATTAAGAAGTGACACTATTGTTTAATTTGACTCCAAATTAAATTTCATGGCATACTACCGTCAATTATGGATGTTTTTTAATTGTAATTCCTCCCAGACCAGACCAGATCAAACCAATTCAGATCAGACCATACTTGGATAGTTATAAAAATACAAAAAAATCAGACGAGACCAGTTCAAACCAGACCAGACCAGCAAACTACGATCCAAGCAAAAACATCTTATGTGCGCTAGTACCAGTAGTTATGAGTCACAGTAAGTTACCAAACTCTAGTTGTAATAATTGAAATAAGAAATTGCTAGAAGTAAAAACAATGTGATTTTCCAAAGTAGTGTATTATATTTTTGAGAGAATTTCCTAAATAGGAGAAAAAAAGTTTTGAAATTCCAAAATAGTACTATCATGTTTTTTATTCCTTAAATAAGAGTAAATTTCTGCCAAGTTTGACATCACTAGGCTTTAAAACATGACAATTTTTTTTTCAAACTTGGCAGATTACTCATTTTTAGGGAATAAAAAACACGATACTCCTATTTTGGAATTTCAAAATGTTTTTACTTCTATTTAGAGCAATTTCTATATATTTTTTCGTAAATAAGAATATTATAGTCATGTTGATAAGTACTGTAAATATAACATCAATAGTGTAACATTAGTGTCTTATAACGTCAAACTATTCATGTATAATTTTCACATCAGTGTCTTGTAATTTTGGGATGACAATAATTCATACATGTGAACAATTTAGAGAAAGCATATTGTTTCTAGAGAAATGTTAAAGGTACCCCAAAATGGGTAATCATTTTTACTCAGGCCTAATGTGTGGTTGGGGCAACACATTTAAGTAGTGCCCAATTAAATGTGTTGTCTCATTCATTTGTGACTACACATTATACAGGGATAAGAATGATACCCAATTTTGGTACCATTTCTCTTGTTTTTACTCTTGACATGACATGATAGAATTCTCCACTAAAATTTCACCACAACCTTGGGCCATTACATTTGTTATTATTACTGTGGTCACATTCGTTTTAGGACAAGTGTATACAAAATTGACTAAAGTTCTCCTCAAACAAAAAACACCCTTAACCTAAGTCCATGGCACTCATAAGTCATAACTAACTTTAATTGCTTACGGTCAAAAGATGATCGAGGACATCATAGCTTTAACACTTTTTTGAATTGGATAGTAATTTAGTAGGATATATTTTGGGAAGTGAGAAAACGGAAAGAGGGAACTGAGCAAGATAAAATATTTTCCATTGTTTGGTTAGAAAGAAACTAGATGAGAAAATGGGGCCCACCATGAACTTTTTTCTCAAAGAAACTTGTTT